ATGTGGTGGTCGCAACAGTGCGACATCTAAAAAAATTCAGTCGAACCGGCAAGAAAAAAGGTGGTTGCAGTCTGGAGCCATTTACTAGATCTTTTTTAGAAGCTGAAGAGGATGAAACTAGGTCTATGTTCAATCCATCAACATGGCAAATAATTATTATTTAAAGGGATTGTTCTCATAAAATTGAATATTCTGTCATTTACTCACCCTCTTGTTGTTCTAGAGTGTATGGCTTTTTCTTCTTCTTCTGCAGAACAATAGAAGAAGATATTTTAAAGAATGTTTCAACTTTTTGCCATGGGCCCTCTGGACTAGGGAGAAAAAACTAAACACTTCTAGACAGAAATTGAAATTTTTGGGTTTTTGAACTATCCCTTTCAAATTGTTATACTGTACATTGCCATTCAAAAGTTTGGGGTCAGTAAGATTTTTTTTTTTTTTTAATGTTTTGGAAAAAGTCTCTTATGCTCACCAAGGCTACATTTATTTAATCAAAAACACAGTAATATTGTTACTAAGAGTCTTTACCGTCACTTTTGATCCATGTAATGCACCCTTGCTGAATAAAAGAATTAATTTCTGACCCCAAACTTTTGAACAGTAGTGCACATCCAGGGGTCCATCGGTGGATGTTGTAGCATCATTGCTTTTTTGCATATATCAAGCTGTGCTAAAAATGGTCAACTCCTGATGAAAATGAACACCCCTTAGATCATAATTAACAGGTTTACTGTCATTCTGTCTCTTTGAGTTAAATTTCACAGAGACAGTTAATGCATGTACAATATGGCTCAGGCATGGCCTTGTCATATCGATAGAACACAAATTTGACCACATTCAAGGGATGGATGTTGAAGCCGTAGCTCAGCTCCACACTCAAATGACATTTATTATGAGTCAGATGAAAAAAATGCTCTTTGTCTTATTCTGTCTGCAAAAGCAGCCTTCATTCAACAAGTTGCTATCTCATATGTGTATTTCTCTGGAAGAAACAGGTCAATTTTAATGAGCTCAAGCTCTGTTTATGAAATTAGACTTGTCCTCTAGACAGACCCCAGAGATCTGCAGACAGTAGAGATGGGCTCTGTAAAGGTCAGTTTGTTTTCTTTCTCATGATCATTTTCATTTTTTTCCTGACCCAGGCTAATCATTGATGTGATGTGGAATTTCACGTTTTGGTATTTAGAATTGTTGTTCATTATTGTTCAAGTTTTTGGTGAGTTTACTGTAGAACTTACTAGGCACACACTTTTTAAGGGTTTTGGCATTGTTGTGTGTAATGCATTACCAAGTCATTATTTACTGTCATTAAATTACTTTTCCTTTTCCTATAATTAAATACTTTATACTCTTTATAGAACAATTATATATAAAACAATAGTGAATTTAACATCAATATTTAAATTAACATTAAATTAAAATGTTAATGTACTGTATGTTTTTAATGTAACCTTCTCCCTTTAAATATTTTGGTCAGTTCAAGAATAATCTATGCCATTTTATATTATTTATTTGAAAGAATTAAAAGAGCAGTTTCATGTCCATCACTGTATTGTTAAACTGGTCAAGGTTGATATGGGATAGTATATAGAAAGTAATAAGTAATGTGATACGATTAAATAGTACGATTAAATAGTACAATAATCGAATTACACAGTTGAAGATGTAATAGCTAGTAATTAAGTAGTTTTAGTTACTTAGTAACTTGGCCAACACTGGGTTTTGGATGAGTTTTCATCTAATTCACGTTTATTTTCTTCACAAAGTTCTAAGCCTTGAAACCCAGCCATCTCTGGTGGAAAATAAAAATGAAATTATATTTGTTTAACAACATTTTAATAAATGGGAGGATCTTTTGAAAAACCATATGTACCGTATGTTAATAATTGTGACTTCAGATGCAATCATGCATGTCTTCCCATAGAACATAAAAAAATAATGTTTTATGTAAATACTTAGTATTTGGTCATTTACATTTTGTTAAAAAAATTTTTTTAAAGAAATTAATAAAATTTTGATCATTAAATTGATCAAAAGTGACAGTAAAGACGATATTACAGAAGATTTCTGTTTCAAATAAATGCTGTTCTTTTGACCTTGCTAGTTATAAAATAATTCCTAAAAAAATGTATCACAGTTTCCACATAAATATTAAGCAATACAGAGTAGTGAATATCGTAGTATTTATTGCATTGTTGTGCTGTGTTATTTCCTAGTTAGAAGTTTCATAGAAATTTCAATAGTTTGTGAATATAGTGAGATTCACATCGTCACTGCATTGTCAACTTTAGTGTCGTTTCCATGGTAACAGTGGATTTCACTTAAACTAATTCGGATTTTCTAAAAAAGGAATCGGACTAATGGCTTCTATATAGGCACACGCTAGCACTTAACCTCTGAGTTATATTAGGGGTGTCTTGAAATATTTATTAGGTATTGTTGAAAATCATTTTCACTATGGAGATTCTGACTGGCATCTTCACTTCTGGAAGCCAGCCGTTGAGCCCTATTGTACGGACGTGTCTTTCTAGAGGTGACGTGGTTACTTGGCATCAGTGTATTCCATTAGCTTATTGAACATTGTCGATTGCTGCATTCATGTCTGGTTTTCGTACATCTGTTCCATCAATGCATCCTGACTTTGTGAATGTTGAAGCATATGCCCCAACTATTTCAAACCTTTACTGATATTCATGTTGGTATTTTACATATGTATCCCTAGCATCCATCTCTCTACATAACCAGCTTTTACCTCAGGCCCTCTCTACCAATAAGTCAATATGTGACTGACATGATTTAACAAAATCTCAACAGATTGGATCTGCATGCTCTGCTGTTTGGGCAGCTCTGGGTTTTAATGCAGTTATGAAGGCAATTGGCTGCAGGCAGGTTGTATATTTCAAATTGTAATAAAGAATGGACAGGCCGGGTGCATACCACAGCTTTTTAAGTCTAGCAGCCATTACGGCTTGCGGGAAGTCATTTAAACTGCAGAATAACTCACTTTGATAACCTGTGCTGCTGTTTATTAACCCAGAATTTGTTAGTGTCTCAAGGAGGGTCCAAAAGTGCAACATGCACTCAGGCTTGCAGAAAAATAGAACAAATATAGGACACTGAAAACATTGTGATTCACATTTAACCTGCTTTAGGTCAGGTAAGAATGGGGCATGATGAACCTTAATTTATTCCCTTCATCATAGATGGCACACAATCTCATCTCAACACTTTTGATGAATAGCTACGCTATTTTTAATTTGGTCATTTCATCTGAATATCAACATTTGTGAAATTTAGTTGAAACAGTTTTGAGGTTAATTGATCTAATTTTGTGTCTAACATTGTATTATGTTGATTATCTATTTTTTTGTTGCACATTAATGTTTTAGATATTGTGGAGTAAAACATATTTTGAAGTAAGGGTGTCACCGAAATTAAGTCACAATCTCGAACTTCGAATTAAAAAATGGAATCATCGATGCTGCCACGCCCCCATGTCACGTTCGGTCGGCGTGCCAAGCGGAAAAAAACACGCGTGTTGAAGTGCTGCAAGTCTATGGTCAACCTCCTCTAACTTAGCTACAGCCATTCAAAAGATAGCATGGCTACTGCAGATGCAGGAGACCCATCGACAGAACTTGAACCCCCTCCACTTTCATTGAAGTCGCAGGTGTGGACGTTTTTTGGATTTCCAGTGAGTTATGTTGACAACGTTCACGCTTCAAAAAAGCCACAGTTTGCAGACATCCCAAGTCTCACGGAAGTTCCGGAAGTCTCTCCCGCATATTGATAGCGGCTCCCTGATGCCCGCAAATTAGTTAAAATCTCCCGGAATCTAGAGTGAGCGAACAAGAGCTTGCATGTGAGACAGAAAAAACTATGCTCCAAACCGTAGTTTGGAGCACGGCAGAGAGTGAGAGAGCGAGAGACCTTGCGTGTGTGCCTCATGAAGCGCATGTAAGACAGAGAGCATCCTGATTGGCCGGTTTCGGCTTTCAAAAAAAATAAATGTAAAAATCGAGAATCGAATCGAACCGTGACCTTAGAATCGAAAATTTAATCAAATCGAGGATTTGGAGAATCGTGACACCCCTATTTTGAAGTGAAAGATTGGGTAAGATAGTCCCCCAGAATTGGCACTGAAAGCAAGGCCCCAAGTGGCATGTTGTTACTAGTGTTATTATTATTATTATTATTATTTTTTTTTTTTTAAATATAATAGTTATTGTAATTCATGGGGTTATTATTCAGTAATTCCATGAATAAGGTGTATATTTCAGACATCTTTGCTTTAAAACCTATAGGCTAATTATTCAATTAGAATGAGTGCAGCAGGCGTAATGATATGACGCAGCGCCTGAAAATAGGCTACCTTCCGTCAACACAACGGAACTATTTTCAGGTGCTGCGTCATATCATTACGCCTGCTGCTCTCATGGTACGGCAGTAAAGTTTCTTGATTATTACGCAGGAATGAGAGTATAGTTCCTAGCCATATCAGCCTAGAAAATCGCAACTTTACATTTTCCGTCGGTCTTAGTGCACGATGTAACTACAGAAGAGTCAAGTTTTAAATAGGAAAAATATCGAAACTCTTTGGTCATTTTTTTTTTTTAGAAATGATAATGGTCTTGTCCACTTCAATGATGTATGCTAAGCTATGCTAAAAGTGGTACCGCCAGAACCGGAGATCGGCTGAATGGATTCAAAAACGGTAAAACTCAACAGTTTAACTCTGGGGGAGTTTTAAAATGAGCCTATTTCCAAAAAAAGTGAAGTATCCCTTTAACTTACATCTAAATATGAAAGTAAATGCGCATTGATCTTTAGGGGGGCATCTTAACCCTACTATTTGCATTTTCTATTCCTAGTTTTCCTGTTTGCCTTTGGGACATTGTATGTCATTTGACTTAGCTCAGGCCTCTACAACCGATCAATAGCATCCTCAATCTGAGCAAAAATAGTTGTTTGAAGTGTCCTCTTTTTGTTCTCTTTTCCAGGAAACCCCTTCGAAAAGAAGAGAACGGCACAAGCCGAGGGGAGTATGCCATGAGCTCACGCTGTAAACAGCAGGTAGTGGAAACCAATAACACTGGAGTATAGTGGCCATGATACAGCAAGACATGTACAGCTGAACATTCTGTTCCCTACTGCACCACCGTCTCTCTGGGCTTATGAGAAGGACGCAAGGTATATTATGAATTTAAGAACTGTAAACCGCATGGCTGCCCTTCTTGGGACATAGAACGATGTTTAAAGAAAAGACTGTATAGGCAAGTATAAGCAGGTTTTGTGGAGACTAGGGAAACTCCTAGCAACGTTGGCAGCTGCACGAGTATCACGAGACTCAACCTGATGACAATATACAACACCAACAAATAAAATAAACGCATGCACTTTCTGTTGAATGCAATGATGTTTTTAAATTCCTGTCTTCTTTTGTCTTTAACTCTGTCTCTGCAGTGTCCCTCATTGAACAGTAAGGGTTCTCTCACCTCATGTAGATTGTGTAAATGTGTTGAATGGATAAATGATGCATTGGCCCCATTGTTTTAATAGAGTCTGTTAGAGTGTCCAAATGGATTGGTTCATCCTGCACTTGTGTACCAAATATACAATAGAGAACAAGAAAACATCCAGAAATTTGTTGCGGTTTGTGTTACTATGCAATTGGATAGGATAGAGTTTTTGAGGTGCATGCTGATAATACAAAAACACAATGCTAGCGTTAGCATTGCTAATAGTTAGCTGATTGAAGTTTGATCATTCTATAGATATGTATACATTTTAAACAAGCTAAATATGGCTGATGTAGCCTACATGTGAAAAATATCAATCATGTTTGATGTTATGGCTGATAAATAGCTCTAATTATAAAAATAAAAGACACCAAAAACTGAAATGTATAGTTTTTGTGAATGTCAAAGCAATTTTTGGCTGCTTAGACAACATTATGTACAGTATGAAATATGGATAACTATTCATTTTAAGATGAATAATTGTTTGAGTAGTTAAGATTTTAAAAGTCTTAACATAGGAGACCTCTCTAACTATTTTAATAATATAGAAGTTTGGCTTTCTGTGTTATATATTTATGTAATGGACACAATATGATGGATGTCCAGAATCAGTTTACCTTTCAGTATAGCCACACATTCCCGTTCTCAAATATTTAGCATTTGTATATGAAAGTGCTCCATAATTTTGCACCAATTAGATATATTGCAAGTGGGAAGCAAGAAATAAAATGGTAAAGTGAAATTAAACACTTTTTATTAAATGTTCAATCATTTCAACTTACATATTTTTTTCTAGGACTTAAAGCAATGAGAAATATATACATTTTTACATTAGTCATTTCCTCTAAGAGAAATCAGTAAGGTTAATATAACAGAAAACAGTGCACTAGTAGTGTACCTGGATTTGATAATCATGTCATCATTTGTGGCCTGTTGTCCATCTCGAGTCTTGGGAATGCTTGCAAATCATTCTAGATTCACATCAAGTCCTTTCTTGACCTTTCCGGCAACTAGGAAAATCTAGGATGGTACTTATCATACTTTTACTAAGATGGTTTATCGCTATTTTTGAAGTGGTTAATACTGTGATTTCATGTGGGTTACCGTTAGTGGATGCTTCAAAGATGTATCAAGGTGATTCATCAAACAATCTTAACCCTAAATTTAGCTTGTAATGTCACTCTCAATCAGACCCTCTCTATTGTTTAGTTTATTTTTATTAGAACTGTATATCCAACGTATCTAAATATCTGTTTTATAGACAGGAGCTTGTTGTATTTAGAAAACAGTGATGCAATGTTCATGCATACAGTAACACTGAACTATGAATCATAATATAAAACCATATACAACTGAGCAATGTAAACAAACATCCCTCTTCATATCCTGTAAAACATTCTCACACTCTACTGTACAGTCATTCACCCGTTCAACAAGATATACGTACTGAAGATATATGTGTATTATACTGTACAAAGATACTCAGAATTGTATTGCATGAATGTACATATCAATATTTGCCTTCTTGACAGTCTATCGTGTGTACAGAGTAAGAGAAAATGTTTATAGGGATAAGTATTAATCGATGTGTCGTCAGAACAGAATAAGTGTTATTGTTTGTCTGGAAAAAGCCATTAATGTATATTTGAGTAATCAGAGGTTGTTGCACAATGTATGCATCACATACCAAAATGTAAACAATTATATATTGTGCATTGAACTAATTTAATTGCAACTTGCTGACTTTTTTTAGTTTTAAATAAAATTGTACTACTGAATCGTATCTCGTGCTTATTTGTCTGCAAAAAAATAATTTGGTCTCTAAATTGGTCTGTCATAATTTAAACTGGAAGAATAATTCCATAATTCTGTACATGTGCATCTTTCCAGTCTGAAAATAGCAGATAGGCTATAATATGTAAACAGTGTATGCTTATAAATATATGATTTCATTACACTGTTGATGCCTGATATCTGTCAACCTTGGAACGCTTTGTGGTTTTATGTAGTGGATAATTATATTACATTAATTGCTATCTGAGATATAATTATCTCTATATAAATATTGTCCTAAAAATATCCTATACCTAGCAACAACAAGGCCTTGTGGGACTCAAGAGAGATTTCTCTCACACGCATATAAAACGTATTCTTTTATTCTTCTATTCTATTTTAGTTCTTTTACAAAAGTGTATAATATTTGTTTTTAATTTTATTCAAGTTAAAGTTTAGCCAAGACAGTTAGTAAAACCTCCATGTCAGGCAAGGGTGAATCCGTTGATGGAGTTAAATGAGAGAAATTGGGGAGAAAATGTTGTCGGCTCACCTCTGTCTGCTGACACACCTTGCTTGACAAGTCATTTAGAAAAGTGGAATATCAAGATGTCTTTCCAATAAGAACCGTCCACAGATATTTTCTCTGTGCTGCCAGATAAATTACCCCAGTGTGGATAAGGATGATAAATTGCTTAGAGAATCTGAAGGCCGAGTCTGCTGTCTGTCAGTTTCATGTGAAAAAGCTGATGCTTTACAATGTTTACACTGTCAATTAGGCAGGCACCAGTGCGGCTTCACGTCAGTCAAAGTTATTTGTCAGCGGCTTCATATTATTCAGACCCAATGCTCTCATTTTACATTACAGGTCTCTGAAATGTATGTAAACCACTAAAACTCAGAAATAAATAGTTAAGATATTGTTCAGGTTATAAGCCATTTTCATATATACTACTACTAGATATACTACTGTTTAAAGGTTGGGTAACTAAAATGATCAAAAGTGACAGTAAAAACCTTTACAATGTTAGAGAAGATTTCTATTTCACATAAATGCTGTTATTTTGAACTTTCTATGAATCCTGAAAAAAGTAGCATTATTTCCACAAAAATGTTAAGCAGCACAACTGTTTTCCACATTGATAATAATTATAAATGTTTCTTAAAGGACAACTCCGGCGCAAAATGAACCTCGGGTGTAATAACACATTGGTACAGACTAAATCGTTCCCTGAGATTTGTTTTCATGATAATCGAATATAAAGAGTTTTATCTCTAAAAACAGTTTAGCTTATAACGCTAGTATATTGGGCATCGAGTAAGCAAAAAGAGATCGCTAGTTAATACCATTAACAAGCCTCAAATTAGCCCCACACTAACACGGCAGCATAATGAGTGTCCTTACATGCAAACCGAAGCATTGAGAACTTTGTAAGTGTATAGACAGTTTAATAAGAAGATACTTTACACAGACAGTACAGTTGGCGCATACAGACAGCAGCCATCTTGGAAAACAGCCTCGATCAATCGAACCACGAAGGTGAGCGAACAGTACGTGTAGATATTGAAGATAAGATAAATTATATTTATTTTTTTATTTTCTCTGTTGCGTTCAGTGCTTCTCTTATGCGCTCAGTGCTTTCTTCCGGAAACAACAGACCATATGAGATTCCAAGTCACAGTTCAGCTCACGTATCACCGTGTTCGTGGTTTGACTGATCGAGGCTGTTTTCCAAGATGGCTGCTGTCTGTATGCGCTAACTGTACTGTCTGTGTAAAGTATCTTCTTATTAAACTGTCTATACACTTACAAAGTTCTCAATGCTTCGGTTTGCATGTAAGGACACTCATTATGCTGCCGTGTTAGTGTGGGGCTAATTTGAGCCTTGTTAATGGTATTAACTAGCGATCTCTTTTTGCTTACTCGATGCCCAATATACTAGCGTTATAAGCTAAACTGTTTTTAGAGATAAAACTCTTTACATTCGATTATCATAAAAACAAATCTCAGGGAACGATTTAGTCTGTACCAATGTGTTATTACACCCGAGGTTCATTTTGCACCGGAGTTGTCCTTTAAGCACCAAATCAGCATATTAGAATGATTTCTGAAGAATCACGTGATACTTGAGGCTGAAGTAATGGCTGCTGATAATTCTGCTGTTCCATCACAGGAATAAATTACATTTTAAATTAAAATAGAAAACTGTTATTTTAATTTTATTTATTTTAATATCTTAATTTTAATAATATTTCACAATATTACTATAATAATTTACGCTTTTTTGATCAAATACATCCAGCCTTGGTGAGCATAAAAGACTTGCATTAAAAAAAATCTTACATTCTGTATACATATAAATGAATAACAAAAAAAATTACAAATATTTATGAAAGTGCCTTAACAACGATACCTTATATATTGTAATAATTATTTATTAAATAAATAAGTGTGTTTCAGTGCAGGCATTCATGAATTCATCAAGTTTTCATGTGCATAGCTCCTTTTTCTCCAGGCATTTGCCGCTGGCAGAATGACGAGTTGGTTCTCTCACCTTTAAAGCTTCCTCATAATCACCCTTTATAATAGGTGATCCAGTATTAATGCAGTGCTGATCTCAAGCCGTTCCTTGAGATTGAGAGGACATACACTCACCTAAAGGATTATTAGGAACTCCATACTAATACTGTGTTTGACCCCCGTTCGCCTTCAGAAGTGCCTTAATTCTACGTGGCATTGATTCAACAAGGTGCTGAAAGCATTCTTTAGAAATGTTGGCCCATATTGATAGGATAGCATCTTGCAGTTGATGGAGATTTGTGGGATGCACATCCAGGGCACGAAGCTCCCGTTCCACCACATCCCAAAGATGGGATGTGGTGGGTTGAGATCTGGTGACTGTGGGGGCCATTTTAGTACAGTCATGTTCAAGAAACCAATTTGAAATGATTCGAGCTTTGTGACATGGGGCATTATCCTGATGGAAGTAGCCATCAGAGGATGGGTACATGGTGGCCATAAAGGGATGGACATAGTCAGAAACAATGCTCAGGTAGGCCGTGGCATTTAAACGATGCCCAATTGGCACTAAGGGACCTAAAGTGTGCCAAGAAAACACCCCCC